GTCACTACTCACTGTGTGTCACTACTCACTGTGTGTGTCACTACTCACTGTGTCACTACTCACTGTGTGTCACTACTCACTGTGTCACTACTCACTGTGTGTCACTACTCACTGTGTGTCACTACTCACTGTGTCACTACTCACTGTGTGTCACTACTCACTGTGTGTCACTACTCACTGTGTGTCACTAGTCACTGTGTGTCACTACTCACTGTGTGTCACTACTCACTGTGTCACTACTCACTGTGTGTCACTACTCACTGTGTGTCACTACTCACTGTGTCAGTACTCACGTTGAGTGTCAGATCTCGCTGTGTCAGCACTCTCACTGTGTGCCATTCATCAGTGTCACTTGTGTCAGTACTCTTACTGTGTCTGTAATCTTACTGTGTGCCAGTACTATCACTGTGTCAGTACTCACCGTGTGTGTCATTAGTCACACTGTGTCAATACTCACTGTGTGTCAGTACTCTTACTGTGTCTGTAATCTTACTGTGTGCCAGTACTATCACTGTGTCAGTACTCACCGTGTGTGTCATTAGTCACACTGTGTCAATACTCACTGTGTGTCAGTACTCTTACTGTGTCTGTAATAATAAAGTATTAAAGCTTTCGTGACTGCATAAAATTACTCATTGGTTTTTTTCGGTAAAGTCACGTATGTAGAAATACAATAAAATTATATATATATAAAAATATATAATAATATAATTTTATTGTATTTGTGTGAGTACTCTCACTGTGTGTCAGTACTCACTGTGTAAGTACTGTGTGCTCAGTGAGAGTGAGTACTCACACTGTGTGTCAGTACTCACTGTGTAAGTACTGACACACAGTGAGAGTGAGTACTCACACTGTGTCAGTACTCACTGTGTAAGTACTGTGTGCTCAGTGAGAGTGAGTACTCACACTGTGTGTCAGTACTCACTGTGTAAGTACTGACACACAGTGAGAGTGAGTACTCACACTGTGTCAGTACTCTCTGTGTGTGAGCTCTCTCGCTGTGCAAGTCAGTTGACTGTGACACGGCGGATGATGGTTCCATGTAGCCAGCAGCAGCGACAACAACAGCAGCAGCTACAACAACAGCAGCTACAACAACAGCTACAACAGCAGCTACAACAACAGCTACAACAACAGCAGCAGCGACAACAACAACAGCTACAACAACAGCTACAACAGCAGCAGCTCCAACAGCAGCAGCAAATACAACAGCAGCAGCAGCTACAACAACAACAGCAGCTACAACAGCAGCAGCTACAACAACAACAGCAGCAGCTACAACAACAGCAGCAGCAGCAGCCACAACAACAACAGCAGTAACAGCTACAACAACAACAGCAGCTACAACAACAACAACAGCAGCAGCTACAACAACAGCAGCAGCTACAACAACAACAGCAGCTACAACAACAACAGCAGCAGCAGCTACAACAACAGCAGCAGCAGCTACAACAACAGCAGCAGCTACAACAACAGCAGCTACAACAGCAGCAGCTACAACAACAGCAGCTACTACAAGAATAACAGCAGCTATAACAACAACAGCAGCAGCAGCTACAACAACAGCAGCTACTACAAGAATAACAGCAGCTATAACAACAGCAGCAGCTACAACAGCAGCAGGTACAACAACAACAACAGCAGCTACAACAACAACAGCAGCAGCTACAACAACAGCAGCTACAATAACAGCTACAACAACAGCAGCTACAACAACAGCAGCAGCTACAACAGCAGTGTGCCAGAGAAGGCGCTCACGGTCCTTGAGGACTATGGCACAGCGAGCAGACGGAGTACGTGGCGGTCGTAAACACAACACTGTGGTGTGTCACTACTCACTGTGTGTGTCACTACTTACTGTGTGTGTCACTACTCGCTGTGTGTCACTACTCACTCTGTATCACTACTCACTGTGTGTGTCACTACTCACTCTGTGTCACTACTCACTCTGTGTGTCACTACTTACTCTGTGTGTCACTACTCACTGTGTGTGTGTCACTACTCACTCTGTGTGTCACTACTCACTGTGTGTGTCACTACTCACTCTGGGTGTGTCACTACTCACTCTGTGTGTCACTACTCACTCTGTGTGTCACTACTCACTGTGTGTGTCACTACTCACTCTGTGTGTGTCACTACTTACTCTGTGTGTCACTACTCACTGTGGTGTGTCAGTACTCACTGTGGTGTGTCACTACTCACTGTGGTGTGTCACTACTCACTCTGTGTGTGTCACTACTCACTGTGTGTCACTACTCACTATGTGTGTCACTACTCACTGTGTGTGTCACTACTTACTGTGGTGTGTCACTACACACTGTGGTGTGTCACTACACACTCTGTGTGTGTCACTACAGAGTCTCTGTGTGTGTCACTACACAGTCTCTCTGTGTGTGTCACTACAGACACTGTGTGTGTCACTACAGACACTGTGTGTGTCACTACTCGCTGTGTGTCACTACTCACTCTGTATCACTACTCACTGTGTGTGTCACTACTCACTCTGTGTCACTACTCACTCTGTGTGTCACTACTTACTCTGTGTGTCACTACTCACTCTGTGTGTGTCACTACTCACTCTGTGTGTCACTACTCACTGTGTGTGTCACTACTCACTCTGTGTGTCACTACTCACTCTGTGTGTCACTACTCACTGTGTGTGTCACTACTCACTCTGTGTGTGTCACTACTTACTCTGTGTGTTACTACTCACTGTGGTGTGTCAGTACTCACTGTGGTGTGTCACTACTCACTGTGGTGTGTCACTACTCACTCTGTGTGTGTCACTACTCACTGTGTGTCACTACTCACTATGTGTGTCACTACTCACTGTGTGTGTCACTACTCACTGTGGTGTGTCACTACTCACTGTGGTGTGTAACTACTCACTCTGTGTGTGTCACTACTCACTGTGTCACTACTCACTATGTGTGTCACTACTCACTGTGTGTGTCACTACTCACTGTGTGTGTCACTACTCACTGTGTGTGTCACTACTCACTGTGTGTCACTACTCACTGTGTGTTAATACTCACTCTGTGTGTCACTACTCACTGTGTCACTACTCACTCTGTGTGTCACTACTCTGTGTGTCACTACTCACTGTGTCACTACTCACTCTGTGTGTGTCACTACTCACTGTGTCACTACTCACTCTGTGTTACTACTCACTGTGGTGTGTCACTACTCAATGTGTGTGTCACTACTTACTCTGTGTGTCACTACTCTGTGTGTGTCACTACTCACTCTGTGTGTCACTACTCACTCTGTCACTACTCACTCTGTGTGTCACTATTCTGTGTGTTACTACTCACTCTGTGTCACTACTCTCACTGTATTCTTAGCTCTTTCGGTAAAGTCACGTTGAAGGGAAACAATAAAATAATAAAATATATAACAATATATGAATTACTGCAGTCACGAAAGCTTTAAATCAAAATTTTTACTCACACCGTGTCACTACTCTCATGGTGTCACTGTTTGTCAGTACTCACTGTGTGTCACCACTCACTCTGTGTGTCACTACTCACTGTGTCACTACTCACTCTGTGTCACTACTCACTGTGTCACTACTCACTGTGTGTCACTACTCGCTGTGTCACTACTCACTGTGTCACTACTCGCTGTGTGTCACTACTCACTGTGTGTCACTACTCACTGTGTGTGTCACTACTCGCTGTGTGTCACTACTCACTGTGTGTGTCACTACTCACTGTGTGTCACTACTCACTGTGTGTGTCACTACTCACTGTGTCACTACTCACTGTGTGTCACTACTCACTGTGTGTCACTACTCACTGTGTGTCACTAGTCACTGTGTCACTACTCACTGTGTGTCACTACTCACTGTGTGTCACTAGTCACTGTGTCACTACTCACTGTGTGTCACTACTCACTGTGTGTCACTACTCACTGTGTGTCACTACTCACTGTGTGTGTCACTACTCACTTTGTCACTACTCACTGTGTGTCACTACTCACTGTGTCACTACTCACTGTGTGTCACTACTCACTGTGTGTCACTACTCACTGTGTCACTACTCACTGTGTGTCACTACTCACTGTGTGTCACTACTCACTGTGTGTCACTAGTCACTGTGTGTCACTACTCACTGTGTGTCACTACTCACTGTGTCACTACTCACTGTGTGTCACTACTCACTGTGTGTCACTACTCACTGTGTCAGTACTCACGTTGAGTGTCAGATCTCGCTGTGTCAGCACTCTCACTGTGTGCCATTCATCAGTGTCACTTGTGTCAGTACTCTTACTGTGTCTGTAATCTTACTGTGTGCCAGTACTATCACTGTGTCAGTACTCACCGTGTGTGTCATTAGTCACACTGTGTCAATACTCACTGTGTGTCAGTACTCTTACTGTGTCTGTAATCTTACTGTGTGCCAGTACTATCACTGTGTCAGTACTCACCGTGTGTGTCATTAGTCACACTGTGTCAATACTCACTGTGTGTCAGTACTCTTACTGTGTCTGTAATAATAAAGTATTAAAGCTTTCGTGACTGCATAAAATTACTCATTGGTTTTTTTTCGGTAAAGTCACGTATGTAGAAATACAATAAAATTATATATATATAAAAATATATAATAATATAATTTTATTGTATTTGTGTGAGTACTCTCACTGTGTGTCAGTACTCACTGTGTAAGTACTGGTGCACAGTGAGAGTGAGTACTCTCACTGTGTGTAAGTACTCACTGTGTAAGTACTGACACACAGTGAGAGTGAGTACTCTCACTCTGTGTCAGTACTCACTGTGTAAGTACTGGCGCTCAGTGAGAGTGAGTATTCACACTGTGTGTCAGTACTCACTGTGTAAGTACTGACACACAGTGAGAGTGAGTACTCACACTGTGTCAGTACTCTCTGTGTGTGAGCTCTCTCGCTGTGCAAGTCAGTTGACTGTGACACGGCGGATGATGGTTCCATGTAGCCAGCAGCAGCGACAACAACAGCAGCAGCTACAACAACAGCAGCTACAACAACAGCTACAACAGCAGCTACAACAACAGCTACAACAACAGCAGCAGCGACAACAACAACAGCTACAACAACAGCTACAACAGCAGCAGCTCCAACAGCAGCAGCAAATACAACAGCAGCAGCAGCTACAACAACAACAGCAGCTACAACAGCAGCAGCTACAACAACAACAGCAGCAGCTACAACAACAGCAGCAGCAGCAGCCACAACAACAACAGCAGTAACAGCTACAACAACAACAGCAGCTACAACAACAACAACAGCAGCAGCTACAACAACAGCAGCAGCTACAACAACAACAGCAGCTACAACAACAACAGCAGCAGCAGCTACAACAACAGCAGCAGCAGCTACAACAACAGCAGCAGCTACAACAACAGCAGCTACAACAGCAGCAGCTACAACAACAGCAGCTACTACAAGAATAACAGCAGCTATAACAACAACAGCAGCAGCAGCTACAACAACAGCAGCTACTACAAGAATAACAGCAGCTATAACAACAGCAGCAGCTACAACAGCAGCAGGTACAACAACAACAACAGCAGCTACAACAACAACAGCAGCAGCTACAACAACAGCAGCTACAATAACAGCTACAACAACAGCAGCTACAACAACAGCAGCAGCTACAACAGCAGTGTGCCAGAGAAGGCGCTCACGGTCCTTGAGGACTATGGCACAGCGAGCAGACGGAGTACGTGGCGGTCGTAAACACAACACTGTGGTGTGTCACTACTCACTGTGTGTGTCACTACTTACTGTGTGTGTCACTACTCGCTGTGTGTCACTACTCACTCTGTATCACTACTCACTGTGTGTGTCACTACTCACTCTGTGTCACTACTCACTCTGTGTGTCACTACTTACTCTGTGTGTCACTACTCACTGTGTGTGTGTCACTACTCACTCTGTGTGTCACTACTCACTGTGTGTGTCACTACTCACTCTGGGTGTGTCACTACTCACTCTGTGTGTCACTACTCACTCTGTGTGTCACTACTCACTGTGTGTGTCACTACTCACTCTGTGTGTGTCACTACTTACTCTGTGTGTCACTACTCACTGTGGTGTGTCAGTACTCACTGTGGTGTGTCACTACTCACTGTGGTGTGTCACTACTCACTCTGTGTGTGTCACTACTCACTGTGTGTCACTACTCACTATGTGTGTCACTACTCACTGTGTGTGTCACTACTTACTGTGGTGTGTCACTACTCACTGTGGTGTGTCACTACTCACTCTGTGTGTGTCACTACTCACTGTGTGTGTCACTACTCACTATGTGTGTCACTACTCACTGTGTGTGTCACTACTCACTGTGTGTGTCACTACTCGCTGTGTGTCACTACTCACTCTGTATCACTACTCACTGTGTGTGTCACTACTCACTCTGTGTCACTACTCACTCTGTGTGTCACTACTTACTCTGTGTGTCACTACTCACTCTGTGTGTGTCACTACTCACTCTGTGTGTCACTACTCACTGTGTGTGTCACTACTCACTCTGTGTGTCACTACTCACTCTGTGTGTCACTACTCACTGTGTGTGTCACTACTCACTCTGTGTGTGTCACTACTTACTCTGTGTGTTACTACTCACTGTGGTGTGTCAGTACTCACTGTGGTGTGTCACTACTCACTGTGGTGTGTCACTACTCACTCTGTGTGTGTCACTACTCACTGTGTGTCACTACTCACTATGTGTGTCACTACTCACTGTGTGTGTCACTACTCACTGTGGTGTGTCACTACTCACTGTGGTGTGTAACTACTCACTCTGTGTGTGTCACTACTCACTGTGTCACTACTCACTATGTGTGTCACTACTCACTGTGTGTGTCACTACTCACTGTGTGTGTCACTACTCACTGTGTGTGTCACTACTCACTGTGTGTCACTACTCACTGTGTGTTAATACTCACTCTGTGTGTCACTACTCACTGTGTCACTACTCACTCTGTGTGTCACTACTCTGTGTGTCACTACTCACTGTGTCACTACTCACTCTGTGTGTGTCACTACTCACTGTGTCACTACTCACTCTGTGTTACTACTCACTGTGGTGTGTCACTACTCAATGTGTGTGTCACTACTTACTCTGTGTGTCACTACTCTGTGTGTGTCACTACTCACTCTGTGTGTCACTACTCACTCTGTCACTACTCACTCTGTGTGTCACTATTCTGTGTGTTACTACTCACTCTGTGTCACTACTCTCACTGTATTCTTAGCTCTTTCGGTAAAGTCACGTTGAAGGGAAACAATAAAATAATAAAATATATAACAATATATGAATTACTGCAGTCACGAAAGCTTTAAATCAAAATTTTTACTCACACCGTGTCACTACTCACTCTGTCACTACTCACTCTGTCACTACTCACTCTGTGTGTCACTACTCACTGTGTGTCACTACTCACTGTGTGTCACTACTCGCTGTGTCACTAGTCACTGTGTGTCACTACTCACTCTGTGTCACTACTCACTGTGTGTCACTACTCACTGTGTCACTACTCGCTGTGTGTCACTACTCACTGTGTGTCACTAGTCACTGTGTGTCACTACTCACTGTGTCACTACTCACTGTGTGTCACTACTCGCTGTGTCACTACTCACTGTGTCACTACTCGCTGTGTGTCACTGTTTGTCAGTACTCACTCTGTGTCACCACTCACTCTGTGTGACACTACTCACTGTGTCACTACTCACTCTGTGTCACTACTCACTCTGTGTGTCACTACTCTGTGTGTCACTACTCACTGTGTGTCACTACTCACTCTGTCACTACTCACTGTGTGTCACTACTCACTCTGTGTCATTACTCGCTGTGTCACTACTCGCTGTGTGTCACTACTCGCTGTGTCACTACTCACTGTGTGTCACTACTCACTGTGTGTCACTACTCACTGTGTCACTACTCGCTGTGTCACTACTCGCTGTGTGCCACTACTCGCTGTGTCACTACTCACTGTGTGTCACTACTCGCTGTGTCACTACTCACTCTGTGTCACTACTCGCTGTGTGTCACGACTCGCTGTGTGTCACTAGTCACTGTGTGTCACTAGTCACTGTGTGTCACTACTCACTCTGTGTGTCACTACTCACTGTGTGTGTCACTATTCACTCTGTCACTACTCACTCTGTGTGTCACTACTCACTCTGTGTGTCACTACTCTGTGTCACTACTCACTGTGTCACTACTCACTCTGTGTGTGTCACTACTCACTCTGTGTCACTACTCACTCTGTGTTACTACTCACTGTGGTGTGTCACTACTCACTGTGTGTCACTACTTACTCTGTGTGTCACTACTCTGTGTGTGTCACTACTCACTCTGTGTGTCACTACTCACTCTGTCACTACTCACTCTGTGTGTCACTATTCTGTGTGTTACTACTCACTCTGTGTCACTACTCTCTGTGTGTCACTACTCACTGTGTCACTACTCACTGTGTGTCACTACTCACTGTGTCACTACTCACTGTGTCACTACTCACTGTGTCACTACTCACTGTGTGTCACTACTCACTGTGTCACTACTCACTGTGTGTCACTACTCGCTGTGTGTCACTACTCACTGTGTGTCACTACTCACTCTGTGTGTCACTACTCACTCTGTGTCACTACTCTGTGTCACTACTCACTGTGTCACTACTCGCTGTGTGTCACTTCTCGCTGTGTGTCACTACTCACTGTGTCACTACTCGCTGTGTGTCACTACTCACTGTGTGTCACTACTCGCTGTGTGTCACTACTCACTGTGTCACTACTCGCTGTGTGTCACTACTCACTGTGTGTCACTACTCACTGTGTCACCACTCGCTGTGTGTCACTACTCACTCTGTGTCACTACTCACTCTGTGTCACTACTCACTCCGTGTGTCACTACTCACTGTGGTGTGTCACTACTCACTCTGTGTGTCACTACTCACTGTGTGTGTCACTACTCACTCTGTCACTACTCACTCTGTGTGTCACTACTCACTCTGTGTGTCACTACTCTGTGTCACTACTCACTCTGTGTCACTACTCTCACTGTGTCACTACTCTGACTGTAATCTTAGCTCTTTCGGTATAGTCACGTTGAAGGGAAACAAGAAAATAATAAAATATATAAATATATATTTATATATATATTTTATTGTTTCCCTTCAACGTGACTTTACCGAAAGAGCTAAGAATATGAATTACTGCAGTCACGAAAGCTTTAAATCAAAATTTTTACTCTCACTGTGTCACTACTCACTCTGTCACTACTCACACCGTGTCACTACTCTCACTGTGTCACTACTGTTTGTCAGTACTCACTCTGTGTCACTACTCACTCTGTGTCACTACTCACTCTGTGTCACTACTCACTCTGTGTCACTACTCACTGTGTCACTACTCACTGTGTGTCACTACTCGCTGTGTCACTACTCACTGTGTCACTACTCGCTGTGTGTCACTACTCACTGTGTGTCACTAGTCACTGTGTGTCACTACTCACTGTGTCACTACTCACTGTGTGTCACTACTCGCTGTGTCACTACTCACTGTGTCACTACTCGCTGTGTGTCACTACTCACTGTGTGTCACTAGTCACTGTGTGTCACTACTCACTGTGTCACTACTCACTGTGTCACTACTCACTGTGTGTCACTACTCGCTCTGTGTGTGTCACTACTCACTGTGTGTGTCACTACTCACTATGTGTGTCACTACTCACTGTGTGTGTCACTACTCACTGTGTGTGTCACTACTCACTGTGTGTCACTACTCACTGTGTGTTAATACTCACTCTGTGTGTCACTACTCACTGTGTCACTACTCACTCTGTGTGTCACTACTCTGTGTGTCACTACTCACTGTGTCACTACTCACTCTGTGTGTGTCACTACTCACTGTGTCACTACTCACTCTGTGTTACTACTCACTGTGGTGTGTCACTACTCAATGTGTGTGTCACTACTTACTCTGTGTGTCACTACTCTGTGTGTGTCACTACTCACTCTGTGTGTCACTACTCACTCTGTCACTACTCACTCTGTGTGTCACTATTCTGTGTGTTACTACTCACTCTGTGTCACTACTCTCACTGTATTCTTAGCTCTTTCGGTAAAGTCACGTTGAAGGGAAACAATAAAATAATAAAATATATAACAATATATGAATTACTGCAGTCACGAAAGCTTTAAATCAAAATTTTTACTCACACCGTGTCACTACTCACTCTGTCACTACTCACTCTGTCACTACTCACTCTGTGTGTCACTACTCACTGTGTGTCACTACTCACTGTGTGTCACTACTCGCTGTGTCACTAGTCACTGTGTGTCACTACTCACTCTGTGTCACTACTCACTGTGTGTCACTACTCACTGTGTCACTACTCGCTGTGTGTCACTACTCACTGTGTGTCACTAGTCACTGTGTGTCACTACTCACTGTGTCACTACTCACTGTGTGTCACTACTCGCTGTGTCACTACTCACTGTGTCACTACTCGCTGTGTGTCACTACTCACTGTGTGTCACTACTCACTGTGTCACTACTCACTGTGTCACTACTCACGGTGTCACTACTCACTGTGTGTCACTACTCGCTGTGT